ATTTATTTTGGCTTTCCTATTTGATTGGGTTAGGGTTATTTCAAGACCTCCGTTATGCTCCAGCTCATTCAGTGTTTGCCTCCAAAGAAGCCAGGAGGATCAGAGCAGGCAATGTCTTAATTTAAATCTCAGAATTTTCCTGTAAAACAAAATAACCACACTACAGACTATGTCTCACTACAAACCCCTCCTTCAGGTGTGCATTCATTGATTGTGGGGGCTGAACTCGGCCTTGGCCCAGTGCATTGGAAGAGATGCTTATGAACAGCTATGCCTGGAGGCAGATTGTTCCACGCGGGTATGGTTTAAATAAGGAATAAAAACAGCAACTCCACAATGTGGGCTCAATGAACAGCCTCAGGAAAACAAGCCTCCAAGTGAGCAAAGCCAGCTGCAGCGATGTGGGAGGCAGGAGCACGATTACAAAAGTGGGCATCCATGGCAGGATCAGGCCAGCCTCAAAGCCCTGAGGACATGAGCCCGAGGAGTTCAGTACTGACTTGGCAAATCAATTCCATAGTTCCTTCTATTAAAATTTCTAATGATATGAATAGTACGTTCTTCTTTATTCTGTGCAACTGCATATAATTCTCCTGTTAAGCATCATTTTGCATATTTGGAAAGGAATCACAGCCTCTTTTTTTGGAACAGAAGAGTTTGAAAAACAATTACTACACGTTCCGCACCAAAGCATATGTGCAAGACTCCTGAGAAGTATATGGTCAACTCATGTGTTTCATGAAATCAAACTATTTTCATCTATAATTCACAACATATTCCAGAAAAAAAAGGAAGCATTATAATCAGTATATGGTGCTAGAGCATTCTTCTATTAAAGGACTTTACCTTTGTGGCATGTGTCTTCATAACTCTTTGTGAAAGTAAAAGCTACTGTCACTACCTGCACCAAGTGGTCTGTCATACTCAGATGCTTCTTTCAAGCTCTTGGTATTTCTTACTTCAAGCATTTAATTTAAACATTTGATAATTTTCTTTTAAAAACTGCTGCAATGTCACTGATGTCAGTAGAATGATTTCTGACTGTATACACATAAAAGGGAAGAAGAATCGGGACCTGAGGTTAGAACTGGTTTGCTGAGAAAAGCCAAGGGTAGGAGTCAGCTGAGGAAATGGTGCTCAGATCTTGAGGTATGTGAGGCTAGGGCTCCATTTTGGGATGAAACAGAAGTAAGGGACGACTCTCAGAACTGAAAGCGCACAAAGTAGTTGAGATTTTAGCAGAACTTGAGAGGCACTTCCTAACACTGCATGTCTAAATGGAAGAAATCTTGTAACGAGCCTTCTCTCTGGGAGATTTCCACTATTCTGAGTAAGGAGTAAGGGATCCTTCATGTTGAGAAGCAAAACCACAGAGATCCAAGGCTTTGAAAGTTGCTAGGTTTCTCGACTTTCTGATGAACCACATGGTATCTACTGTTGGGTCTCTACCACACCTGCTGCTGCGACCAGGCTTTATCCTTCCTGCCTCTGGACGAATTACAAAAAAGATGAAGAACCAGAAGAAAATTTTTAAAATTTAGTCTCTTCATTCTCCTGTTTTATGATTCTAAGCGCTACTTCACAGAATAGGTGAGAATTCCCCATGAAAAAATGGAAAGAGATTTCATTTCTTGACCCTCTTACCTAGTGAGTTCTTTGGGGATTTCCATTTAAAAAAAAAAAATCACAATTAAATCTGGTCTTTCTCTCAGAAAACTATACTTCCCTAAGTATTTCATCAACAAAGCAGCTCTGATATGGGGAAAAGAATGAGAACAACAATGATTCACCATTATTTGGCGGTGCAATGCTAAGAAGCTCCTGGTTTTTTGTATGTCATTACATGGCCATCTATATATGGATCTCAGGGGCTGGGCAGCAACCTCTGTACTGTCATTATGATGCTGGGGAAAACCTCTTCAGATACTATCTGAAAAGGAGGAAGGGATGAGAATGACTTTTTACAAACAGTTGAGCAATAAAACCTGCTGTTTAAAGCTGCCAATGGTAAGAGATGGACATCACTGTAGAGATGGCGCAGAGCCATCATGCCACCTCTAAGGATAGTGCATCCTTCTTTGTGTCACTTGAGAAGCTGAGATTGCACTGAGTCCTCCTGAGAAGCACAAGAAATAGCTGGCAAGGTGCTTCAAAATAGTAAGCTGGGATGGGTTGCAATTTGAATTTTAACTGGAAGAGAAGATCTCCGTAAAATCTGAACTATATATACCAAGGCAAATTCAGCTTTCAGTTCATATCTGAATGCATCAAGTTTGTGGAGTCTAATGAACTGAAGCAAGGTAACAGGGAGAAGAGTTTGTTCTCACTTCTTCAAACTCTTTAGGAGGAGTCAGCTCTCAGAAAGGGACAAACAGCTCGTTGTAGGGCAGATTACACGGGTCATTGCTTATATGTCAACTCAGAAAATAAATATTAGGATCAGGCCAGCAAAACCAAAGCTGCTTGTCCCCAGTACAGCTGGGAAGGGGGATTCTCGAATGGCAGGGGAATTGCAGCTGCTCCTTTTGAAGGGCACTAGAAGAGCACCAGCTCTGCTTCACTTTCTGCAGACTCAAATTGCAGGAAGCTGCCAGGAGGATCCACCTCCCTGTTTGCGATGTTCAGAAGACTAAAGAGGGACTTTCTGAAGTTAAGGACTAGATGCCTGGAAAAATCCTGCCAGTCTACAGCGGTCCTCAGGCTATGCAGCTAGCATGCTTTACACACTCTCAGGAGGTATAACACCAAATTTTCAACAGACTTACATTCCACAGCAAGACATCTCTGGTCTGCAGTTACTCACTGTGGGCACTCAGAGGTCTCCTGCCCTGACACTTACAAAATACCAGGGAAGACTGAAGGGCGCTTCATTAAGCTAAGGCAATCCAGATGTACCAGGGCACTTAGCAAAGAAGCTCAGATTCTAGTTTTAATTCTTTTAAAGCATTCAGACAACATACAATTTTATTTCATAAAAAAGTTTAGAAAGTGGTTGGAGTAATGCAGAGACAATAAATCAAAGATAATGTATCACGTTACTTCGAGACACAAAAGATTTACCATTTCCCCTTCCACCAGATATAGTCCTTTGGCTTTGCAAACAGGAATTAATTTGATTTCTTCTAAACTCAAAAGCCAGGCTACTTACCCTAAATGAGAAAGGAAGCAAATGCATAACTGTTTCTCTGCCCAGTGTGTTCCTGTCGAAACGGTGCAGGATAGAGAACTGAGAAGCTTTCTACAGCTCAACATTGACAGAACTCAAGCTAAAAATAACATTAATATCCACTGTAGGAATGCACCAGCCTCATGGCCACTGGGATCACTTCACCTGTGATGGCAGTTCTCCTGCTTTTTGAATGAGAGCTAATTTTTAATTACCCTTGTAATTTAATTACTTGTATGAAAGTGGTGGAAACTGATTTAATTCTTGTTCCTGCCAGAAAGCTGTGTCTCTGAACACAGCCTTTGGGTTAAGTTAGGTATAAACTAAAAATAGTAAGCAAGTAAGTTTGAAAAACATGGCACAAAAGTCCTTCTAGCTAGGCTAGCTGACAGTGAAATTTTTGTACCGCATTTTACTTTGCATGTCCTCAAAAAAATCAGCTAGTAGGGTACAGGACACAAGTCAAGAAGTAACATTTCTATAAATGACATTTCTAGGATGGTAGGATTCAATTTTTTAACTTTCATCTGAAGGAAAACTTGAATCATCAGAAATGAATTCCCTACCATGCAAAATCTAAGCCCCAGGTCAACTTCAAATAACCAAAAAAAAAGTTTCCCTACCCTGCAGCTAACCCTTGCTCTTGTATTCTTAACCTAGACACCTGCAGTTGTGGCAAAAGGTTTGCTATTCCTGCCCTCATGCAGGAGCACTAAATGCGTGCAGCACCTCTGCTGTTGTGTTCTCCAAGGTGCACGCAGATGAGAGAGAAACCTTTCCCGGGGAAGTGCGCAGCAGCCAGGCAGGCAGCTGCGTGCTGTGCAGGAGCAATGCTGCCACAGCCTATGGTCTGGGCTTGAGATCAGAGTAGATTAAGAGATTCGCTTGTCCCTCTGGCTCTAAATCTGTTTACGATGCAGAGGTATGCAAAGAGACATATGAGAAGGAAAAAAACTCATTTGAGCAACTGTCAAGGAGGAAGAAATCAGCCACAACATTGATCAGCGGAAACACAAGTGTTTTAGCAGAGAGCAAAACATAGACCCCAGGGAGCTGGCTTTGGGGCAGAGCTCAGTGACACAGGATTTGGATGTATTCATATAAATGAATAATCTGAAGTTACTTCGATGAACATTTTCCAAGTTCATGTCTCTGTGACTATCCTAAAATTCCCGTGTTTACAATATTTCTTGGAAAGTGGAAATCGCAAGCATTACACATCCGTTTATACCAAGGGCTGCATCAGACGTGGCTGACTGTGAACTGGGTTCATTTTTGCTTGCTCACAGCAGACTTGGTCGGATTGGGAATCGCACTGATAGCACCAGCCCCAAGACCCAGCTGCATCCCAGAGACAGGAAGGCGTTGAAAACAAACGGTTTAGGAGTAACCAGCTGTTCAGTGTGACCGTATGAGGTGCATGAAAAGGGAACGTAGCAGATGTCAGGCACCTGGCAGGCCCCAAAGTCAGTGGCAGAAATAGGGACAGAGTCAGCGAGTTAACAGGGCTTAGTCTGCCAACGCCTTGTGCTTTGCTCAGGATGTTCACCTGGTGAAGGCAGCTCCTCCTGCTTGATCAAAGTGCTGGCCTGCTCATCTGGAGGTGCTTTATTTTCCTGTTGCGAGTCTGTAAATGGTAACACAAGGTGCAGAACCACAGGGGAGCTGAGGTAAAGCAGCTGCAGGAAATATTAACTGAACTACACCATAAAAGCAAGATCTGCTGCCGGTCACAAGAGAAACCTGCTCATTGCAAGTGAGATTGCGTAAATACTGGTGATCACAAGAGGATTCAGTACAATAGAGAAAGACTAAAGAAATGTAAAGAATTTACTTGATTTTTCTTCTTTAATGTTGTACTCCAGCACAGCGGGATCCTCGTTCTGCACAGGCAGGCGAACTGCGAGGACCATGTTGTTCATGTTACCCTCTTTCCTAACCAAGAATATCTGAAAAAGGAAAAAGGAATCAAGAGCTTAGCTACATTATTTGAGCTTCTGAACTTTATGTTAGGTCATTGGCAATGAAGTTTTTGTCAGTACAATCCACATTCAAATGATCTTATTTTAGCTTCGTTACACTCAGTTGAACTTTACACGACAAAAATAATGAATAAAGGGACATTTCATCTGGGTGAAATACAGACCTGTGAAGGAAGGGACATTTCATCTGGGTGAAATACAGACCTGTGAGGGAACCAGCAAAATTTCTAGGCATAACTGATGTCCCACTTAGCCTAAGAAAAACTTTTTCACTAACTGAAGAGTATGAAGCTGCAACTTGTCAAGTGATGCTCCTCACATAAGTGCCCTGAATCACAGACAATTCAACCTAGAATGTCCCAGTCTGGGTTTAAAACAAGGGAGTCATTTGTACATTGAGAAGGAAAGGATTCAAGTGTCCATGAGTGGAACATAAGGCCAAAGGCTCTGGTGACCACAGCATCTCATGGCAGAGTTTTTTCATGGGACCAGAAGATCGCTCAGGCTGGGAAGGACCTCAGGAGAGCTCTCATCCAATCCCCTGAGTAAAACCAAGAGGCCAGACTAAGTTTCTCAGGGCTTTGTCCAGACAGGTCTGGAGAACCTCCAAGGATGGAGACTGCGCAACCTCTCCAGGCAGCCTATCCTATCACTTACTGTTCTCAGTGGGAGAAAGTGTTCCCCTGTACCCGATCTGAACCCCTCCAGTTTCAATGTATGCCTGTCACCTCTTGTCCTCCCACCATGCAGGGCTGAAGTAGAGCCTGGCTCCATGTTCTCCATGACCTCCCTGTAGGTACCAGGAGGCTGCTTGCTGTGTGGTCCCCCAAAGTTGTGTCTCCTCCTGGTTGAGCAAACCCTGATCCTGTAGCTTCTCCTCAGTGGGTCTGTGCCCAGCTCGCTGCCCAACACTCTGCAAGGCCCTTCCCGCAGAGCTGCCCAGCCAGGCAGTGCCAGCCCAGATTGCTGCCGGGGGCCCTGCCTTCCTGGGACCAGTGCTTTGCATTTGTCTTTGTTGAATTTCAGAAGATTCCTGCTAGCCCTGTCCCCTCAGCTTGTCTAAGATCCCTCTGGATGGCAGCACTGACTTCAAGTGTATTGACTGATCCTGAAATCACAGAGAAAGTGTAGTTGGGAAGAACCTCTGGAGACCATCTAGTCCAATCCCCATGCTCAAAGACAGATTGAGTACAAGTCACTCAGGATTGTGTCTTGTTGGGTTTTTATTATCTCCAAGGATCGAGGCTCTACAGCCTCTTGGGCCACCTGTTCCAATGTTCAGTCATCCTGACAGTAAAAAAGCTTTTCTTAAGCTTTAAACAGAATTTCCTGTGTTTTGATTTATGCTCACTGCACTGCATCCTTTCACTGAATACCACTGAGAATGGTCTGGCTAAATCTTCTGTACTCCCTCTCATCAAGTATTCATAACCACTGATAAGAGGTCCTTGAGTCTTTAACTGGAACCAGTGGAATCACTGTAGCCATCGGTTCCCACCAATGGGACCAGTAAAATTAAAAAAAAAAAAAAAAAGGAAAAAAGAAGAAAAAGGAAAGGGGAAAGAAGAGAAAGAAAAATGAAAATTGAACATAGAAAGAAGAAAGTAACAAAGACAGAAGAGAAAAGAAAAAAAAAGAAAAAAGAAAAAAAAAAAGAAAGAAGAAAAAAAGAAAAATATCTCTCCCATTCTTTGTACTGTGTGAGCTCCTAAGTGTGTTTCTAATTAAAGCTCATTGTCAAGGATATTTTTAGGTTGTACTTTGACGCTGCAGATACAAAGACAAAGTAATCTTCACCTTTATCTGTTCTTTGAGAGCAGGTTTTGGCAGGAGAGAATAAAGGTATCTTTATAAAAACTGAATTAAAAAATTGGGCTAATTCTGGAGTTTGGATATTAATATCAGAAAGAAGTGTGAATTGATAAAATGATTAATCAATCACAATGCAGTGGAAATCTATCAGAAAAACATAATTTCTTGGGCAGAGGAATGAAAAAAAAAGCTTGTCTAGAAGCCAGGACCTTTCTCTGCATGAGTCCCAGCCATAAAGACATCTCCTGTCACTTTGAAGCACCCATGCTAAACACGCAGCTTTGGGGCAGCTTCCCAACTTTGCACAGGGCTGTCGTCTTGGCCTCTGTCATTCATAAGAAATGGAGAACCACAGGCTTAGGTTCACCAGCAGTGCAGAGAAAATCCAAATAAACGCATGGCAAATAGGTGCATGCCTGAAACAGATCTATTTCTAATGCAGGGCAACTCCCACCTTCTACATCACAGAAAGTATCTGCAGACAGGAAAAAGCCATAGAAGCTCTCTCTTTCCCAGGTCCTACCATTCATGTGACAGCATGGTCTCTCTAACCCATCTCGAGAGACTACTGCGACCTTGGATCTCAGATGGCACTATCTCACATTGCATCGATCAAGTGCTTAATCTGAAATTAAATTTAAGCGACGAGAGAAGTGAAACCTGGGAAAAATAACTTCTGTTTTCCTGATCTGCACGACTGGTTGTCATGGCTCCAAAGGCTAAAACTGGACCATGACTGTTCAGATGAGAGGGAGGCGAGCTTTCTGAGCTTTATCTAACTCTACTGGCCAGGTCAGGACCAGGATGCAAACCAGTCTCTTCCATTTTCACTAGTGGTGGGAAAGGTGCAGTGCTGGGTGAGCTCAGAGTGGGCAGGAGAGGCTGCCCTTGCCATGGGACACCTCTGATGCATCAGCTCTTCTACTCCCTGCTTCAGGCTGTAGCTGAAGACTGCTTCTGAGGACAGTGTGAGCCGGAGGAATGGAGGCAAGATTTGTCTCCAAAGCCGCTTGGAGGTGGGAAATGGCCCTGCCTGCAGGGAGCGGCTAATGGCCAGGAAGGCTTGAGGCCATACACAGCTATATCAGAGACAGTCACAGAATCAGAGAATCATAGAATGGTTTAGGTTGGAAGGGACCTCGAAGATCATCTAGTTCCAACCCCCCTGCTGTGGGCAGGGACACCCTCCACTACACCAGGTTGCTCAAAGCCTCATCCAACCTGGCCTTGAACACTTCCAGGGATGGGGCATCCACAACTTCTCTGGGCAACCTGTTTCAGTGCCTCATCACCTTCAGAGTGAAGAATTTCAGCTCAGCTGACATTTCAGCTCAGCTATCCCTTTATAGTCAGTGCAGAAAAACAAAGATCCTAATTTGCTCAATGTCTGGTTCAGAGTGAGGCATGCTGCACAGTCCAAGTTGGCCAAGTAAGTCTTGCTGGAGGTTGTCACTTGGCTGTGCCAGCTTTTAGCCCTGGGATAGACTGACTTAGCCAAGGGAAAGGGCCAAACCTCCTCGGGAGAGAGTGAATTCCCTTTGTGTCTGGCATCAGTTCAGGTCATTTACACCTGCTCTCCCCAGACTCGACCAGGACACCTACTCCCTGTCATGCCTCACCTCTGAGACCCTGGGAATGGGGACCTCTCTTTCCTACAGAGATGTTTTTCTTAAGCACGCTCTGAGTTTTGCACAAGTCTATCATTTTCTAACAGCTTGTGGAGACCAGATACCAATTATTGCAATGAAAATGACTCCCAGCAGCTCCCAGAATTTAAGGGCTTTTTCTTTAAGGATTTTTTTGTTGTTGTTGTGCCAAATTACAATAGTCAACATATCTATGGGTATGGTAGTGAATGGAAGGCATCTCCATGGATCCACATGCTACATAAATAAAACAAAAGATTTCTTGCTTCCCTAAAGCCATTATACCTGTCTTGCGTAGTTGTGCGTGGCTAAAGCATCAAATAGTCTGCTAAATATTTTTGCTTCCATATGAATAAAAGCACCGCTATCCTAACCAGCTCCGCCAAGAACAGGAAATGTGGTTGTCTGAACTGAAACCACTTTGGACTTACCCCTGCTGTTTCTTTGCCAAGGATTGCCCCAGCCCTTTCCTGGTTCATGTTCAGCTGAAGCCAGACGGGACAGGTCTTGATGAGTTTGTCAAGGATGCTGATCCCTGGAAGCGGGAGGCAGTTTTGCAGGGCAGTGTCCTGACAGAGATATGTCTCTTTTCCCTCTTCACTGGTATCTCTGATTGGGCTGAAACACAGTAAGGGAGTCCCTTGTAAGCAGAACTGCAAACGGAAAACTTGGGGGGAGTAAGGACTGCAAATGCAAACACAGAGGCACACACAGAGCCACTTACACACCAGGAGAGTGCCTTGAGGGGCACCAGACCACAGATGCCTTTATGATAGAGGCAAACTGGGTACACTGGCCTCGACAGACAGCTACACCTCATCTGAAGGACTACGGCCTCATGCTGATGATGCACACCCGGGTTTCAGACCACAGGCTCGCAGGGTGCTTTGTGCTGAGTTCTGTTGGCTTCAGCTCCCCTGCCTATGTTGCCAAAGCACAGGCACCCAGAGACAGAGATAAGGGATGCACAGGGGCAGCCAGCGCTGCAGAGGGCAGAGCGTGCCTGTTGCCTGTCCCCTGGACTCCATCCTCCAGCTGAAGGGTCAGAGCAAGGTTTCACAGCTTCAAAGCGAGTGTTGCAGCAGAGAAGAGGGGGCCACAGACCTCTCCAGCTGCTGGGAATATGCACACATGGAGCCACAGCGTCCATCAGTGTCTGAGGCATACTGGGGCCAGGCAGCCCACAGCTCACCCTGTGCCTGTGCCATTGTCAGTACTCCTCCCATCACATAGGAGCTGTGATGGGAACTGGTGTGGTATCTCATCCCTCTATTAGAGCCTTCTGGAGGAAGCCTGCCTGCAGTAACCAGAGGCTCTCGCATTTTGGCAGCCACCCCCTGCACCCAGCTTAGGTTGTCTGCAATAAGGCAGACTTGGACATCTCATTGTTTAAAAAAAAACATGGAGCACTCCTCGTCTCCCCTGACTAGTCTGTGCTGTGCTGGTGGTTGCAAAGGTGGACGCTTCTCCACCCCTGCACCCAGGGAGCCACTGGCGCCTGCTCATGGGGAAGGGGAAATCCTCCACCTCCGTTGTCACTCAGAGAGTACAGGAGGAGGAGGTTAGGATGCATTCAGCAGCAAGTTGTCCACTACAGAAGAGGTACCTTTGCTGAATCCCAAAGGCTGATCTGCAGCAGGAGAATAATTCAGTGTGCAAGCCCTGCAAACAGCCCTAGGTTGCTCAGCACAACACAGCAAGTCCTGCAGGACAAGACTCAAAGGACACAAACACAGGGAACCCTTTCCTTGTGCGGAGGGAGGGGAACGGGAGGGAGCACAGGAAATGTGGAGAAACATCAGAGACACCTTCAGGAGAGAGGAAAGGAAGACTTGATTTCCCTCTGTTCTTTCCTGCCACATTTGTCATTTTGGCTAGTCCTAAAGACATAATGGGAAGCTCCAAAAAGATGCATGGGAGATACTGAGCGACAAGAGAGAGACCATCCTGCAGCACCACATGTTAGCAACGCCCAGTCAGACCTTATGTCTCACAGCTTATTCTCAGCTGTACAAGATGTAAGAATACTGAAATTATGCTGTTGAGAATATTAAAGATCTGGGACATGTTCTTCTTTAGATTCTGATTCTGATCAGAGACACAAAGAACTAATTCTATCTATTTTTAGTCCCTGCAGTCTAATGGCAGACTGGTATTAAATGCTGGTTTCTAGCTATGGCATTGATTCAACAAAGTATTTATACATGTGCTTCGCACTGCAGTCAGCACTTGTGCTGAAAGGTCTGGTCCTAAGAGCTCTACTGGATAAGGCTATAGACTCATTTGATTAATTGATTTTTAAAAGTGAAGAAAATGTAGGTGAACATACACAAAGTACTTTTTTCTGCACTAGTTTTGCTGCTTAGACATCAGAGCGTAAAAGAGGAGAACTCTCGCTTTTGATTTGGTCTTATTTCAGGTCTCTTTCTTTTTCCTTTCATTCTTGAAGGCACAGATCCTAAAGCAGTACATTTCAAACAAGGTCAGACTTAAACCACTGAAAGAGAGTCCCTTTCAAAGGCCTAACCTAACACAGCATGCTTATCCCAAAAGTTAGTTTTTATAAAAATAGCCTTTCAAATCCCACAACCAACAGCGAGATTTTATTTTTAGTAGTTTTTTTCTTTTGCAACCCTACAGAGACAGCTTCCTTAGAAAATACATGTTCCTCCACAGTCCCAGTTGCTGATTCAGGGTATTAGTCCATAGAATCTTGATTTTAATCAATGCATTTTCAAGATTGTAACTGAGACAGTAAGAGTGAGAGAACTGTGCTTAAAAAAGCAAATAGAAATAAGTGAAACTCTCTTCACTTCTGATAAAAGCCCAGCTTGTCACACAGGTGAGGAAATTTCTTTCAGAAGCAACAGCATATGATTTTAATCAGTATCATCTGAACAAATAGAGTAAAACAGTGGAGGATAGCTTTTGGAAGTTAACCTGATTCATCTCTCAGTTTCTTTCCTTACAGTAGAAACAAACAAACAAAAAGCTAAGTAGACCCGTGAAAGGAAAATGTGTGTTGGATGGCCACATTCATACTCGGTAATGGGAAAGAAGTAATGAGCCGAAGGAAAAGAAAGGTGAGCTATAATGAAATGTTCCATAACACTGTTAGCAAAAGCTTCTCCCCAAATTAGTCACACAAGCATGAATCTGATCTTGCCAATGATGAGTGAAACCTAGAGCAAAAGGAGGCCAATGCTGATAATGTCTTGCTGTGGCACCAGAAGGTGACATGCATTGCAATAGCTCCAGCGATGCTGAACTTCACTACCCATTAATTATGTAGGGTGAAGAGAAAAGGGCCAGCAAAACACTGATGCTCAGGGATCCCATTACCTGGAGGGAAATGAGGGTTATCAACAAAGGCAAGGAAGTAATACAAAGCAGCTTGGACCTGGTAAGCAACAGGCATGTAATGACATGGTCACGGTGTTCGCCATGGGGGAACCCAGCAGGCAAAGGCACTCAGCCCTCTGCTCCCTCTGACAGGCACATCGTCTGGACAGAGCCCTGCTCAGAGCAGCAATGTGGGTTTGGCAGCAGAACAACAAACTGGTGAAGAAAAATAACAGAACTGACCTTCCAAAGCATGCAGCTGCATGTAGGGCCCACCATCTATGTTTTGGAGAATGGATGAAAAGCAGAAAATCATTCCAGACTTAGATGTACTAGATAAAAAATGAGGCGTCTTAAAATATTTGTCTTATTAGAAGCATTTCATGATTTGAGTGTGTGGGGTTTTTCAGTGCAGATAATTAAGGGCAGTGGACGAGGCTTTTTGGCAGAAGAGGAACCCAGTCTTTTGAGGGCCCTCAGGGATGAGAGCCCTGTTGTGGGGTATCCTCCTCTCAAAGGCCAGCGCAGTGCTGAAGGAACTCAGCAGGCCTGTACAGAGGGAGGAAAGGACAGCTCAGCGAAAACGGAGGCCTTGATAAAAATGAAAGGCAAGAAAAGTCATTAATGCGATCGTATTGAAAGAGGGGCATGGTAGGCTAGATGCTCCCTGACAGCGAGTTATAACCGATGATGGATAAGTTCCCAGGAGAAGGGGGAGAGGATTGCATTGATCAAATCTCTTAAAATGCCATGTTTAGAGCAGTAGCAAACACTTTATTGAGTCAAATCCTGTGCTGGCTAAGAAATGGGAGTGAATGACCTAAAAGACCTTTTCCAGCTGTAATGCTGTGACCCATGACACACCGGTTGACGCAGTTATGGCACCGACGCTTTCCCAGGCACAGCTGTCACAAACATCCAGATGCCAGGCTGCGGGAGTGCTTAATCCAGCAATTTAATCTGCCTCCACGGTAGCTCTGTAGCTGCACGGAGAGGAGGGAGCCCAGGCAGCTCTCGGGTTCTTGCTGTGCTGCCAGCCAAAGGGATTTGCAGAGCTGCCGTAGCAAGCAGCCGGCCTTTGCTGTTTCGCTTGCTCAGGATGCATGCATCAGATGATTTCTAAGCTCAGAGCTCTCAGAAATAGGACGCTGTTTGGCTAACTCTCTTCCTCCTTCTCCCACAGTCCTGCAAAACCCTTTGACTGATACGGGCAGGTGCTCATTTCTGTTATGTGTGATGTGAAGCTGAAAAGCTGGCCCTAGAGCTGCCTGCTTTTCATCTTTTTTTTAATTGAGTTCTTAGTGCAAAGTACTTTTAAATCCTGCAGCCGCTCTGCTAAATTGAACTCAGTTGGGATGCAGGGAGCCGCATGTTTCATACTGACTGGCAACACAGATTGATTAATTGCACAGTGATTACATTTACACACCTGCCCCAGTTTGGCAGAAGTTATCAGGTTGCTTGGTTGGAAGTAATGATAATGACAATGGTGATGTGAATTATTGCACAGTGTCCACACACTGAAGTAATGACACCACCATGACTCATTGCTTTAGAAATGAAGAGCCACACGTGGCAGGTGAATATTCCCAGAAATCATCAAAACTGCAAGTGGATATAATCCACTGAATTTCATGCAGGTGCAGGCCTGGGCACACCTTTGCAAGGGACTTCAGAAGTATTGCCATGAACTTGCTGACACTGAGGGCTTCCTAGCTGTGTTATATAGGCCTGGTCACTCTGAATTCCCCCAAGGCAGCTGAGACACACAGAAATTCCGTGCAACAGCAGCAGAGGCTGTCAGATGAATTCTTCACTCCCGCACAGTGACCAGACCAGCTTTAAGAAGATGCATCAGGTGTTATTAAATTTGAATCTTAACTTGGAAAACAGATGATCTGTAGTGCACTGGTAAGTAAAGAGGGTAAGTAAACTGGGTCTTAGCATTGTTTAAATATACCAGGTGTAAGAATTAGGAGCTAGGTTTTTATTATTATTTTGCTTTATTGCTTTTATTTCTCTCCCCAAATATTAGAAGACATCAAGAGAGAGCAAGGGTTTGCTGTGCTGTCTTCAAGGAAAGAGAAACTCAAGTACCAATTTATATTTATAGCATCGCAGGCACCACAGGTCTTAAAATGACCAGCTGGCTTGCTACTGAGGGAGAAAGACAAGCAGCCATAAACTCCATGTGCCAGGTGAAGAGCAACTTCTTGCACCAAAGCCAGCTGGTACCTGAAGGGGTACCATTCAGGACAAGCCAGCTTGTGTCTGACACTCACACGTGGAAACCCTTCAAGCACAGCAACACAGGTTACAAGGAGCACATGAAGCAAAAGGAATAGAAGCTCCTGAAGCTGACACAGCAGTCCTAGTGGAAGTAGATAGACAATGCTGGTAATTTCTGTGCTTAAAAGAGAGAGTTGGGAGCAGGGGGCTGTATGGAAATGGGCCAGATGATGGTGTGAGATTAAAAGACTGTCAGAAATCTCATAGCCCTGTGTCACAACCAACCCAGATGGACTCGGTTGCAGAGCTCTGTGCCACTGGTGACAGAGGCAGATATCTCTATCCCTCTTTTTCATAGATACCTTCGCGCTGAGAAGAGCATGATGTTCTGAACCCAGCACACTGGAGAAGGACTAATCAGAGTTGCAGGAGTAGCAGCAACAGAAGTACAACAAGGTTTCGTCAGTTAGAACCTTGCTGCATGCATAGCTTCCTATGCTTCCCTTGGTTTGATATCTCTTCTGATTAGATAGACTCATTACAAATCTTTGTTTGGACACATGTGAATTCATGTGTTGTTACTTTCAGTTCACTGGGAGGGAAGTTATGCAGTGCCCCAGCTAGAGGATATCAAGTG